TCAGCAGACAACGCTTGGCTTTCTGGGCTGTGACGTTTGAAAGTGGTGTATGGCAAGCACCAGAAAGAAAGGCATGAACACACGACGGACATTTCTGCAGATCCAAAGCATGGAGACCTTTCATTTGTAGAATCACATTTAGGTTTTAATTACGGCATGCCCGTACGTTTGCTTGAAGTTACTCAGGTGTTCCCTTTCATATTGAAAGCCACTTCCCCCGTGGGAGAGGCTAACTGTAAGATATAGAGGAACATTTTTCTGGCATTTTGCGGGGAAGGCTTGCACCTTGGAGGGGCAGGGAGGAAAGAGACAGCCTGCCTGGGCTGAGCAAAACGCTTTCACGGGTTTCCGTGTGTGACATCATTCCCGCATTTACCTGATTCTCGATTGGTACCAGGTGCGATACCATAAGTCGGCTGGATTTCAGGCCACTTCAGTGGTTTTATTTGCCAGGACAAATACAGCCGTGGCTTATTAAAACAGAACAAAAGGGTGACAGTTTAAATACACAGAGAGAATTAGAGGCACTGTCTAATTGCGGTTCTGGGTCAGGCTCTGCTATTTAAAATTAATTTAAAATTGGGGCTTGGCAAATAATTTCTAGACGAATCCCGGCAGGTGACTCTGCTTCTGTCCACAAGCTGGTCTGGAAATTTGCCGCGAGAGGCAGAGATTCCAGAAATGGCAGAGTCTATTCTCTAAAAAAGCAGAGGGATGAGGGAACACGGCACTTTCTCTGTTGTAAAAGGTTCTGTAAGTTTCTGTAACCAAGACAGTAGGGTACTTATGTGGGTAGAAGTACAGAGTCAACGGAGGAATATAACCAGAGTCCACAAACAAACCCATGCATTTACAGTCAGCGGGCTTCCTTTTTTTAAATACGTATTTTTAATTTTTCAAGTACAGCGAACATGCAATATTATGTTAGTTTTGGAGGTACGGCCAAGTGGCTACGCAAGTATGTACCTTATGAAATGATTCCCCTCTTGTCCTCACCTGGCCCCATGCACATCAGTGGAATATTATTGGGCGTGTTCCCTGTGATGGATTTCACATCCCTGTGACCATTTTCTAACTGCCAAACTATTGTTTTGAATCTTGTCACCTCCTACACCCTCCTCCCAAGCTCTGCTCCCCGGCGACCGACCGTCCCAATCAACAGAAACACATTCATCGATATGTCGTCAGAGTCAGAGATGCAACGGGGGGGGGGGGCAGCAGGGTGGACCCCGGGGGCTTCTGCTCAGTGCAGTAAGCCAGGCAGAGAAAGACAGACACCGTACAATTTCACTCGTGGGCGGAACCTACGGGACAAAGTAAACAAACAAACAAAAACCAGCTCGCAGAGAGGCAGAGTGTTGGTTTTCCCCGAGTGTGAAAACAATTCAGGGAGGAACAAAAGTGAGGGTTTTCCCATGTTGCGGCTGAGTCAACTGGAGCTTCATATTCTTGTACACTATAGTTCTGCTAAAAGACTTGTATCTAAAAAAACATACGGAACTTTTACCATTCAATAATAAGAAACAAAGAACATAATGTTTAAAATGGGCAAAATGGTCCTGGCTGGGTGGCTGAGTGGGTTGGAGTGCCAGCCTATGCTCTAAAAGTTTGCGGGTACCATCCCCAGTCAGGGCGCATACAGGAGGCAACAGGCGATAGATTGATGTTTCTCACATCACTGATTCTCTGTCTCTCTCTCTCTCTCCCGCCAACTTCCCATTCTTTCTCTCTAAAGCCAACCAGCATATCCTCAGGGGAAGGTTTACAAGAGGGGCTAAACGTTTGAACGGACAAAGCGGGTGATCCATGAGAAAATGCTCCGTATCATTATTCATTAGCCAAGTGCACATTAAAACCACGGGAGAAGCCATTTCGCACGCGTTAGGACGAGTATCATCAAAAAGATAATGACCGGTCTTGGCTAGGAGGGACAGGAATTGGCACCCTTTCGCAAGGCTGGTGGGAAATGTCCGGTGCTGGGACTCGTTTGGAAACCAGCTTGGCGGTGTCTTCACGTATGAGACAGAAATTAGCCCTATTAAATAGCTGTTGCACTCCCCGATTTCAATCCAAAGGGAATGAACATACACATCCAGGGAAAAGAGTCCTATGCAAATGTTTATCGTGGAATTATTTATAGTAGCCACCCCTTGGAAACAGCACAAAAAATGCAAAGGCAAAAAAGCAAGAAAGTGGCCATCGGCAGATGAACAGATAAGCAAAACGTGGTGAATCCAAACAGTAGCGTGGTATTCACTCACACGCACGCAGAGGAAGTCCTGGGTACACGCTACAACACGGGCAGACTTTGGGGACATTTTGCTAGCTGAAAGAAGGCAGCCACAAGCTACCACATAGTGTGTGAATCTATTTATATGACATGCTCAGCCATGGCCAATCTGTGAAGAGACAGAAAGTGTGTAAGAGAGACCCGCAGTTGTGTGCCTCAGTGAGTTGATTTTGTGATCATGTAAATTATACCTCTGTGAAGGTATTGGACATTTAAAAAAATTTATTGATTTGAGAGAGAGGGAAACATCGATTTGTTGTTCCATTTACTGATGCATGCTTTGGTTGGTACTGGTCTGTGCCCTGACCGGGGTTCGAACCTGCAACCTTGGCGCACTGGGGCCATGCTCTAATTCACTGGACTACCCAGCCAGGGCTGTGACGTCCTTCAAAATCACCGAGGAATCTGGTAGAGATTAGCCTGGACGGATTATCAGTGATGTCATGAACACGGTACCCACATTGTCCGTCTTGAGAACATTTTCGTCCACTCACTCGGGAGGTCTTGTCGGCCCCCAGACATATTTCAAATTACTCACATTTTGGGCACTGATGGTGAGCGGGGTTGTGGGAAAGACCGTGACACTTGGTTGACCCTGGGCCTGGCAGAACGGCCTTTGTTTGGTGTGAGCCAGGCCAGCAGCGGTCATGCCTCTGTGCCCCCGGCTGCGGGGAGGAAGGGGAGGGCACTGTTAATGAGAGGGTGACGAGGAAGGCCCCGTATCAGGACAGCATCCTGGGAAGGGGACTCCAATCCCGGGTCCGAGTGTTCTTGCGTTGTATCCGTTCTCCCAACTGCCCCTTTCCAGGAGAGGGGGTCACTGTTCAAAACCACGCTTTTCTGGGTGAGAACTGGCTTATTCGGGAAACGCATTCTTGTCTCCTCACCCATGTCTTTTGACTCCATCTTTGATCTCTCTACTGTCTCTTGTGTTTGAATAAAAGAGGGGACTTATTTCCAGAAAAACGTTAAAAAGAATCTTCCGCATTGGAGGCATTAAATTTTTTTTTTTGAAAAATGAAGACTACTTTCCAACACCGATAGTTTAGTTGTATTATCCATGTTGTCTATTTCTCTAAGCAAGTTATCTTTTTAGGTGTTTTTTTTTCTAATCCAATGCAGCTGGAAATTTGGTGTACAAAGATGGCTTTGAAATAGATCTCATCCTGATACACCCTGAGCAAAAGGACCCTAATGTCTGTGAAGCTAATATGATGGAGTTTTTAAGTTGATTTTACACTATTTAATGCAGTAGGATTCCTGCCCATGACTGGGTTTGGTGGCAAGCGCATGAGGTCACTAGATTAACACAGTAGTATCCCAGCTTCCTCTTCAATAGTCTCATGGCGGTGGTTTGCAGTTGTCTACAGTGAGCATATGGAAACTTCCAGAAACCAGCAAACACAAAGAAGCAGGATTCCTCCCTACCCAGATCTGCCCGTGCACAGGTACATACTCACCAGAAATAGATGCCACTCAGCCCTTACCGGACCCCTGCAGATAGCAATGGAAAATCTTGGTTTCAAAACACGTCGGAGGTCTTTGGACTTGGGGAGAGCTGAGGAATGGTGTCAAAGTCAGGGGTTCTGGGTGACCCTTGCTATTTCCTGTCTCCCCCCAACCCACATATCCTAGCAGGAAGGCCAGGGCCACTGTCATGGGTGGAGACAGTTCAAGTGACAGGAATTGGGTAACGGGATGTGCATTCTTGGATATGTCTGTCTGTAACAAGATAGCAGAACCAAGGGACTCACCAATTCAAGTGATAGTCAACGCTTGGCCCCTTGTATCTGGAAAATAGGAAACCCCTAAATGATGTGCTGTGTGCAGAATGAGTAGGGGAGTCCTGGTTGTGGTTCAGGCGTGCTCCCCACTTCTGTCTCCACGGAAACTCCTCTGTCGCTTCTGATGGAGGGATCAAGGTAGGTGGCTTCACTTACTTATTTGCTCTCCACAATTCAAATAACGGTCAGCTTTTAGTCATACTGCATAAGTGTTTCAAACGCAAAAAGCACTCTTCATAGCATTTTATCTTAAGAAATACTTATCGCAAGTCTTTGTTTTTTAAGTTGGAGCACAGTGTGTTATTGCTGTGGCCAAGATCTCAGTGGACCAGAAACATTTATGACTTTTACTGGAAATGATGTATTTTTATGTTCTTATGCATGAAACTGATGTCAGTTGTCAGATGCTTTTATGAAAATGATTTCATGTGTATTGTTTAAATGGGTTTTTTTTTGGTACATCATGGAATTCCCTAACCAGAGTGTGTGAGATATTTCGAAAACTCATCTAAATTATAACAGGTAAAATGAGAGAGGCATTGAGCACTTTATATGCCTTTCTTTTAAGAATGTGGGAAGTCTCTTCTTGAACAATTTAATTTTGTTTTTTTTTCTTAAACTCACATTAGCTTTTTTTTTTTGCAGTAGTCTCATTTTAACCCCAAACTGCATTTTCACAGGATATCCAATATTTTTTGAAAATGACATTTTGACTTGGTTCTTCTTGACATCTTTTATGTTTCTGTGCATCTTGCATCACCCAATTTGATTTTTCTGAAATCCAGCTGTAACAGATTTTCACTTTTTGTATGGCATTTTTTTTCTTTTACTGGGTGGTATCTCTCTCTGTCTCTCCTGAATTTTTTGCAAACCTGTTGTTTTTGAATTCTTTTTCCCCTTTATTTTCCTTCGCAATATGACCCCAGGAGCCAACACAAAGAAACACGCAGATGAGATCACCAGTAATGACGGAGGTGAAGATGAAGGTATTTTTTTTTGGTTTTTCAAACCTCGGCCCTGATGCATGATTCGATCTCTCTCTCTCTTTTTTTTTCTTTTTCCTTTCAACCTGTTTTTCCTCCCTTGACTTGGAGTGAGGACACTCTGGCGTGCTTCTTTTATTTTCTTCTTGTTTACGGAAACCAGTCGTTTTCCATCCCGATGGTGGTATATTCCTCACCGTGCCTGCAAAAGAAGTATCCGCATTGTTTGTAAATATGAACTGAATAACCAGAGGTGATTTACAAACAAGGTCACTTTTTCTTTTCCTTTCTTTTTTTCTTTTTTCTTTTTTTGTGTTGGTCACGAGAAGAGGAGATGAACTTTCAAAACATGCATGTATTCTTTCTTTTCTTCCTCCCAAATGTTATTTTGTGCATTGATGTTGTATTTTGGACCTTTGGTCTTAATTCCGTCTGTGATCTGCCGAGCTCCGTGGGACACCTCTGTGGCACTTTTTTGGGGTGGCTGGCGTGTCCGTTTTTGTTTGTTTTTCAAACTTACTGATTCCAAACCAGGTTTCCAAGACTCTTCTCTGGTTCACAGTGAAATACATGAAAAAGTGTATTATTATTGAACGAGATGCTGTTGATTCTTTAAGGATGGCCTTTAGCATCATTTAAAGAAAAAAAAGGTAGACATACTCAAGAAGTGAAAAAAAAAATCTAGTTCTATGTATTTTACTTTTATACCCTGGCTGCTTTCTAAACATTTTCGTCGGAAAAAAAAAAAAAAGTTTCCTATGTTTCTAACGGAAAGTTTCTCGAAGGATCCCTACATGCTTGACAAATTACCCACCAGAACGAAATTGATTTTGTTAAAAAAACGATGACAGAGACATCTAAGTGGCCCACCACCCTACAATCTAAAAAACTCACACCCTCCTCTTTCTCCTAAACGGAGGAAGGCCCAGCAGGAACCTGTGCCTCTCGGGCTGAGAGACAATTTAAATTATTACTATTTCACCTGAGCTCTCCATATCGGCGGTACCTGAAGAGAAGAGATAAGAAATCTATTCTGTGGGCCGTGGAATGTCTCATTCTGCACTTCATTCAACAGCCAGCCCGCAGTTTGGCGCCTGCACTCTTGTAGGTACTCAAATAAAAATACAGGGGTTGGCACAAAGGACAAAACCTTTTCTCGCAAAATGATTAGCATGTCGTTCTGCAACAGAACAATATCACACCGAGGAGAACAGCACCCTATGACACTTTAGTTCAAATGTTCCAATTAAAACTGTCAGTTATTATCCGTATATTACTATCCTACTAGCCACACTCAGGCAGGCGTTACTTCTGCCAGACCCTGAGTTTTAAAAAACCAAACCAAACCAATTCCTCCTTCTGGTCATCGTACACAGTCTAGGGGTTTCGTTTGCATTGAGCTCTGTTCTGTTCTTAGTGTATTTCCATGGATCGCTGGAGTCTGTTTTCCATGACTCACGTAAGACAGCTTCGTTAGGCTTTGAATTAACACGGCATCTGGCCCTTGACGCCCTCAAGTTCAAGAGAATCTTGTTCTCTGTGTCTTGGGAGGTGAGCGATGTTAACCGAACATTCTCTCTGAGGAAAGCCCTGGAAGCAGGTTGTCAAAACCTCACCTTTTCCCTTTTCCGAAGCAAAGTAGCCAACAGCCCGTGAAAGTTTACTAAATAAAGGCGAGCCAAGGGCCAGAGAGAGAGCCGGCACCGTACCCAACACCGAGCACTCTAGTGCTCGGTTTATTTAAAAAGCAGGATGAATAAATCATGGACAAAGCGTTTTTCCTTTCTACCTGAATTGCGTATGAGAAAATTGTCCTTCAGCTGTGGATGTAACTGAGGGCAGCGTTGACACTGGTTTTGTGTACTTGACTGTGACCGGTGGGTTTCTGGAACCTTCCAGACTCTTTATATATTAAGGAGCTCATTTTGAGATGATCGTGGTAATTCACGGGATCCAATGGAGGGCGGCTCATTTCCTTGAAATGTCTTTCTGATCTTGGGGAAGTGTCTTGATGAATCAAGACAAAACAAGAAGTGAAAATAAATGCCCTGAGGTACATTTGATTTTCTTTTGGTAACGGGTATATCAGGGATTTATTTATACAGACACACATACACATATATATGTGGGTGTGTCTCCAGAAATAATTATGATTGCGGTCAGATGTCTCAAATGTGAAAAGGAAAATAAGGCCACAGGATGATGTCCCACTAAGCGTTTGGGTTTTCATCCTGCACTTCCCTAAAGCAGGCTCGATCCTCACAGACCCTTGCAAAAATGCTGCTTCCCCATCATTGCCCAATCAACTAACAAAGTCATTACCACATTGGTGGCAAATTACAGCAGGAGTTTACATTCCCCGGGAAAATACAGAGAGAGCTTTTCAGTTATTTTGTCTGGAGGTTGCAATCTTGGGCTATTTTTATTTCATCTCTTTTTCCTTTTATCACTTAAATGTGTTGGCATCTTACACTCAGTCAGTCACCAAGAGCAAAAACATGTGCTCAGACATCTTTTCTTGGTTTGATATGCTTTTTGTTTTTACACCGTTCTGTGCTGTTGATCATTTTTTTAGCCATTTATTTACTTTTTATCGTTTTGCCGTGGTGACATTTTCTAGATTCACTGCTGTCCCACGAAGCTCACCTTTGACCAAAGGCGGCAGTTACAGTAAAAGTAAATGGCAGCTTTCACGCTGATTTCACCCTTAGGAGATAAAAAAAAAATATGTTTCGTAATGAATGCCTTGAGCTTCTTCAACTTCAGTCACCCTTTAGGGCGCGAGCACTATTTAGAGAATACCATATTTCATCTAAATCCTTCATTTTTGAGTGTCTTCGATGTATGCAGAAACACACGTATTCAGATGTCAGTATGCCTCTCAAAATACCATTTCTGCAAGTGGGAAATGCAGTAACATGGACCATTTTTGCCTAGGTAGCCCTATCACGGCATCTGTGATTTAAATGCAGAGAAGGGTTTGAGTCAAGCCAAAGGCAGGGAGGAGGGTAAGGAGTGCCCGCTGTCGGGGGTGGAGCATCCGTTCATCGGCGTGGTTCTTTATGGTGTCCCCCCACTTCCCCTTTCTTGCCAGACATCCATGATCAGAGCAGCAAGAAGCCCGTCATGGTCTACATCCACGGCGGCTCCTACATGGAAGGGACCGGCAACATCATAGACGGGAGCATCCTGGCCAGTTACGGCAACGTGATCGTCATCACCGTGAACTACCGCCTGGGGATCTTGGGTGAGTCCGCAAGGCGTTCTGCTCTCTCTGTTGCGGCGACTGTTGGCCGTGGCGGCACCATGGTTGCCAGGAAGTTCTGCTTCCCAGTGAATCTGTTTGCTCCTTTTAGTACTTTCCCAGGGCACGGGGTGGGATGTTCTGTGTGTGACCCTACACTTGGTCATGGGTGATGACGTGACAGCAGTTGACGGTGGCCGCAGATGGTCGCTTTCTTTGGGAGTTGTGTAGAGGTGTTGTTTGTTGTGCGTTGGGGAAAAAAAAATCCTTGGCTTAATCTTTTTTTTTTTTAGTGGATTGTTTGTTTGTGTTTGAGCTTCCTAGAACTGCAACGTGTTTGCAGCATCATTCTTTCTGCCGATAATACAGGTTAACTCTTACTTGTCTTTTATATACCATTTTATGATTAGAGGTGATAGCAGATTGGCTCAGTGCGAGAGGATAGTCAAGAAGCACAGTTGTTGTTTTGCTGTGTAATCCGTTTTTCTCCAGCTGGATATTGGAAAATGCATTTTGGGAGGCATCGTTTAAGGTTTGCCTTCAGTGGCTTTTCCTGTCGGGTTGTGTATCTCGTGCATAAAATACCCCTTGACCTAAGGAGCTACGTCTGTTTTCGAGGCAAACATGCAGCGTGGTGTCTGAGCGTGAGATGTGTCTGCCCCGTGTGGGGTGACGTCAACAATAAAATAACAGAGATGAATGGAGCTACGTCAAAGAGAAATGCGACTGAACGTGTTCCCTCCAAAAGGACAAATGTTACCAACATTTTATTTTCCTCTTGATGTTTTGATTTTGAGTTTTATTTTCCATCTACTTATGAAAGACAGTAGAAGGTCTTGAGTTGTAGAAATGCCTTTCTAATGTGGAAATAAGTGAACACCACCCCCAACTCCCCGGATGTTTGCCATGCAAAGTGGTGCCTTGTGCAGTGTCTGCAAAATACTCGGAATTCCCTCTTGGTTTTTAAGAGAAACAAAGTGTTCCACTCGAGAGCCCTCCCCTTGCCTGATGCTCTTTCGTTTTCTTTTTCCCATGGGTTGCATGAGCCAGATCTTTGTGGAATAATTTTACTTAATTTCACAAAGTGATGACAGTCAGCCATTTGGAGCATTTTTATTCAGCGACTTCTGGCTGCTGCCTCTGGCCACTCCTGCTGAAAACAGGAAATCGTGTTTTCTGATCTTTGACAAAAGGTCCATTCTAAGAGAGAGGTGGGGAGGGAGGAAGCAGCCCGCTGGGCCCCCTCCTGTGCCTGTCAAAGGGGGCAGTATGTTCCCCAGTCCAGAGTAAGCGGAGCTGTTCTCAGAATGAAAGAACTGGGCACGGCCCAGCGTCTTGCTTTGGAGATATCACAGCACATTTCTTCCCTGTGCGTGATGGGTGAATGTGCCTTAAAAGGGTAGATTTCAAAAGAAATCGATTCCTCCCCTCTTATGCCAAACTCTGCTACGCAGCTCTACAAAGTTATCTCTTATGCATTTGGCTCACCGGAGAATTAAGGGTTTATCTTGAAGCAGGATGTAGCAGTTTGGAAGCCCTTAGCTAGTTGTTTAGAGAGAGAGAGAAAGCTTGGTTTTACAGCTACTCTCAGGGAAAAAGACTTACGTGTACATTTTGCTGTGGAGAGTTAGAGGAAGGGTCCTGGGGAGGCGTGGAGGGTGACGGGAAGCAGAGAGATAAAAGGAGCCATTCAGTGCCTCTGTGCCCCTCTATTTACATTCGGTGGAACTTCTTCAGGAGGCCACAGACCCCCTTTTATTTGAGGGAGTGAAGTGGGCCCTGATAGAGGCTGCGGAAGGTGACTCCGCTTCTTTCTTTCTCCGATCTTGCCTTTGCCACCGTCCCTTTGCGAGCTGGTTAGCCCCCATCCACCACAGGCTTTCGGGAAATCATTATGATGCGTCTCCAGATTATTCCTGGGATGCTCTGCCTTTAGATCTGTAAGTCATCATCAGATGAAATGGTGCACTGGACACCGGGTGTTCGTTCCAGTGATCGCTGTGGGGGACCAGTCGATGGGAGCTGAGCCAACGGTGGAAACATTGTTGGAGTGCCTTTCTCCAAAAAGTCAAGCATGCAGCCCTGGCTGGTGTGGCTCAGTGGACTGAGTGCTGGACTGCAAAGCAAAGGGTCGCCGGTTCGATTCCCAGTCAGGGCACATGCCTGGGTTGTGGGCTGGGTCCACAGCAGGGGGCGCAAGAGAGGCAACTACACATGGATGTTTCTCTCCTTCTCTCCCCCTCCCTTCCCCTCTCTAAAAATAAATAAATGAATACAAATCTTTAAAAAAAGTCCTCATCCATCTACACATGCCCCTTTCATGTTAAAGAATGGAAACATGTGGCTAGAGATTAATTTTTTTAACAGAGTAACAAGGGGTGTCATCCTCCCCAAAAGACAGGGTGAAAAGATGAATAATGGTATCAATGAATGGTGGCTTGGAAAAAACATGGATTTTAAAACATGACAGAAAGGAACTCCCGTCTTCCCTCGACTCTGTGTCTGTGGTGTGGCCCTGAGAAAATCAGCTAATTTTTTCGGAGAGTCTATATATAGAAGCCTGTGACCTTCCGCCTCTTGCAAGGCCACTGAACGTGTCATACAAAGATGCCCTGGGCTTATAGTGGGGAAGTTCCACAGCCCTTGACTGGGAAGGAGGACACCCAGTCACCTTATAATTTCCGTTGTTATAAATCCCACTGGACATTGTATTAATATCACTATCAATTCAGACAAATGAGTGCCACTGGCCACGTCCAGAATGGCTCCTATCCATCAAATGCGATCGTCTAAAGGAAGCCACCATAATTTAAAAATGAAGAACTGTCTCGTGAAGTCAGTGAGATCTTCACATTGGCTTTTTGAAACGTGGTTCGTGAGAACTGAGCCGTGGTCTTGTTGGCCATTGACCATGTAGTTGACTGGCCAGTCCAGGACGCTCTGAGACCTGTTCCTGTCTCGTTCACACACTGGGTTTGTCCCAGGCAAGCTGGGCTGTAACCTCAGAACCCTAAAGTGATCATTGGTACCCACAGGGGGTCTCACGATTTAACTAGCGTTCCATTTCTTTGCGAAGAAGATGCTATTGATGATGCTTATTGATGGACACATTCTCAGCGTTACTTATTTATGGCTCTTCCGGTCCTTCCCCTCATGACCTGTGTCCAGTTTGCACGGGGTCCGCCGGCATTCTCAGCAGGTCTAGTCTACTTTAATTTAAATATTCACTTTCATGTAGCTCATATGGTACATTTTTCATCAGCCCATGCTTGGATGTGTCGGGTATATTTAATGTTAGTTTTGCTCCCAAAATGGTGCTGTCTACTGTGGGTTGACCAAAAAGTCCATTTAGGCTTTTTCCCCCAGAAACTAAAAGCCACATTTTTCATTTTCACCAACAACTTTATTGATTTGGCTATTTTGAGAATGTCGGCTTTCTCCTGCATGATGTAACATCGATTGTTCTCAAGGAATGTCTCAGTTTCATTGCTGTTAGCTTTGGCTGGTCGGCCTGACCTTGGAGCATTGTCCAGTGAGAAATCTCCAGCACAAAGCTTTGCACACCGCTTTGACACGGTCGAACAGTCACAGCACCTTCCTCTCCACACACTGCAGGCATCTCTCTTTGGCCTTTGAGTTGTGTGTTTTTACCTTGAACTAGTGAGGCACAATGTGCCAAAAAAGTTGCGCATTTTCTTCCACCTTCAATGCTAAAATGGCTGCCCCTCAATTCACCCATTTCCATACGCTTTTTTCAAATGCACGCTCATAGGACAGCTGTCACAGAACAATCACACGAAACGGTTTCTAAGAAAGTTAAAGACAACTGAGCTCTAGCAGAGCCATCGTATGGGAAGAACCGAGTGACCCTTTTGGCCCATCCACTACATACTATAGTATATATAGTATATAGTATGTAGTATGTAGTATGTAGTATATAGTATATAGTATATAGTATATAGTATATAGTATATAGTATGTAGTATATAGTATGTAGTATGTAGTGTATATCGGGGGCCTGCAGTACAGCCAGCAATGAGTTGCTGTAGATTTTTATTCGACCTAATTGCCCTCAGAGTGGCTCACTGGTCATGCCGATGGGGACACAAAGGCCCAGCACAGGCGATGGAACTGAGTCACCAAGATACAATCTGTGGGCATCAGGGCTGGGTGTGGCACCCAGTCTCACAGAAGCCAAAATGCCAGCCTTCCTGCCTCATTCCCACCTCTAGCCTGGCTATCGGTGTCAAGTGTGAGTCAGGTCAAGTGCGACATGAGTTAGGAAACCAGATGCCACCTGAGCATTGGGTTGAGCTTTCATAATGGCACAAAAACATGGGATCGTTGGTCTAGATGCAACATTGCAATGCAAGACTTACAGTGTTTCTCCAAGTGTGTGCTTGGAGGCTGCGTCGTTAATGTTCAGCCACGATGGTTGGTCCATGATGGTGCCTCGCGGCGATGGTGGTGTCTGTCCCACCAGTGGTGACTGTCACACCCAAGATCTAACGCTCTGTCACTAAGCTGGGCGTGCACCTGCGGCTGCCAGCCACTGACCCGATGGCCCGTAAATAAAGTTTAGACCTTTGGGCCAAATGATGACTCAGCAGATTTCCCAGCTGGCAGGTATCTCATAGTCTTAAGTAATGTCACCAAGAGGTTCACATCATTTGTGAAAGGTTTTCTTAGGCTCTGCCAAGGAAGAAATGCCCATCAGCCACAAAATCAGGCAGTATAGAGCTTTATTGGGGTTTGCGTGACTGGGTGAGGTTCTCCTGTCTGCAGAGTGGGGCCGGGGAAGTCCCGCCCAAGCAGGGAATATGGTGGAGGTTTTATTTTGGTTGTCTCTCTTCGTGGGAGCTGGGGATTGGTCCCCTTTGAACAACGCGGCAATATATCATTGGTGGCTTTCCTCGGGCTCAGGTTGCTTTGCAGATATCCTGTTTTGGCAAAGCCCGCCCTTTCAGCTCTGTGGTTTGACGTCAGCCATCATTTCTGGGTTG